GGTCAGGTAGGGAGGACATCCCAGGTCCAGCACTTCTGCACACAGCAAGTGTGAGAATCAGGAGCCATGGAGCATGGCCCATGGCGGGCAGAAACAGGTGGGAAAAGACATGTACTGTCAACTTATATTCTATTTGCAGGGAAGTTTCAGGACAGCAGATCATAGGTATTTCTGTCATCTCCTTTTCTGTCAGAGATGAAAAGGAGGCCAGAACTGTCAGGTCCCGAAGTTCTGGCTTCACCCCTAACCCCTAGAGTATGGAGCTCAGAGTTGAAGGACAACAAGACTTGTTTCTCTGCTGTAAATCCTCTCTATCCTACCTCCGTCCCAGTCTGTGGATGTGGGTGATAAGGAAATGATCTCAAGAGGGCATATTTCTCAGATCCTGCTCAGACAAGTTCAGAGTTCCCAAGTGTTCATATAGTGGGGACAAAGGGATTGTCTGACTTCTTTCTTATGACCAGTTGGCTGCCAGTTGAGCCATGCTAAGAAGTACTGGTGATAGAGGGTAGTTTGGGCCCAATAATAGGCTTCCAGTAATTCCACACTTGGAATTTTCCTGGGTGGCCTCATTTGAGGATCCTGCTTCATCTCTGGAAGAGTAACCAAGAGACATTGTTAACTTTCTTCAAGTTAACAATGGACCTTGAAGGTGTTTGTTAGGTTCTTACGCCCAGAAACCTTGAGAGCGTTAAGCCCAGGTCAGTGTTAGCTCACGAAGAGCAAACCTATGTGCCAAGGTAAAATGGCCAGGGACAAATTCACACTGCTTGGCCTTGTGACTTGATTTGCTAATGAAATGTGACCACACAAAAGCTTTTAAGAGTGTCCTTCTTCCCTGAGATCAGAAACATTCCAGAGAGAGCCTGTTCCCTCAGCCTGTGTCCTGAAGATGATATAGATCCATACCCCGTCAACCCACAATGGACATATTGCATGTACAAGATGAATCCGCCCTTGTCTGCCACTGAGATTTAGAGGACACTTTGATTATCACAGCACAACCTAGCCCATCCTGCTGGGTACATAGGCTACTACTAGAACCTGGACTCCCAAATCTGAGTCATCAGGTTAATTCTATTCTTAGTCTTGATGTTAGTTATCTATTTCTGCATAACTAATTACCCCACAATTTAGCAGCTTAAAGCAACACACGTTTATTATCTCAGTTTCTGTGTATCAGGAGTCTGGGCAGGGCTTAACTGGGTGCTCTGCCTCAGGGTTTCTCACAAGACTTCAATCTGGGTGTCAGTCACAGCTGGGATCTCATCTTGATGACAGTAGGGGAAGGACAGACTTTCAAACTCACCTGAAGCTGGCAGCATTCTGGTCTTTGTGGGCTGCTGGATAGAAGGCCTCAAGTCCTGGCTAGAGCATTCCTGGATTCTGTACCATGTAGATTCCTTAATGGGCACACTGAGATGGTGATGGAGACAGTCTACTAGTAAGACAGATGTCACACTGTTTTGGCACTTAGTCATACAAGTGGCATCCATCACTGTTAGTCTATTCATTAGAAGCAAATCATGTTCTCGGGGAAAGAGATTTCTCAAAGGAGGCAGGGGCACTGTAGGTCATGGTAACAGTCGCTTCCCCAAATTGTTTTCAAAGGAAATGGTCACTGAATGGCAGTTACTAAAAACCTGTCCAGATCTAACTAACCCACCAACCATGATAGCTGGATTAAGTTCACCATCCATACATTCCCATAATGTTCTGTGGACTTATAGTTTGTTTTAAACCTCTATGCTTCTAGACAAGAGTGCACATTGTTCTCTCTCTGACCTATTGCTACAACCTGAGTTCTGGTAAGCTATCTTAAGGTTTGCCTGCAGGCATGGACAATTGTAGTCATTCCTTCTGAGGAAAGAAGTTAGTAGGAGTAGTTACAAGAAACTGGCAGAACGCTGAAATGTGCAAGCCAAAAAGGACACACCAGAGATCACTGTGTCCTTGATTATTTTCTCTGCTCAGCTCTCGGCCAGCTCCCGCCCCCATCCTTTTCCATGGCCTTCCACACCTTGGACTGTGCTGTCTGCATATAAGATGATCTTTTATCAACCAGCTACTGTTGCATAATAAACAATCCTGAAGTCTCAGGGACTCATAAAAATACACATCTGCTTCTCATTCACCTTTGGGCAGCTTCGCTGGAGCAGCTCCTTGTTCCAGACACGAGTTCTGCAGGTCACCAGGGTAGCTCTACCAGAGGTGCATTCTACTTATGGAAATGATGAGTTGCAGGAGGATAATTGACCATCCAAGCACTCTTCCAGTCTTTCCAAGAATCATGTCTATTCATTTCTCACTCACTGAAGCAAGTCACATGAAAGAGATCAAAAAGAAGAGATGAGGAATAACCATAAGTCTACAGCTAGAATGGGGTGTATACTATTTCTACTACAAGGAATAACATTTTGAGCCCCAGAACTCCACGGCACACACTTTAACACCGCCTCCCCCAACATGTTGAGATTTCAAGACTAGTACTAGTACTGACACCAGAAGCAGGGATGTAAGCAGGTGTACGGCAGGCTTCTGCTTCCAGTGGCACAGGAGAGACATTTAAAGAGAGAAAACTAGGAACAGTGTACTTGCAGGTGAATGGGACAGGGAGGTGAGGCTCCAGAGAGGATTTGGAAGCAGGAGAGGAACAATGGATCCTTCCTTTTTCTGAGTCCTGAAAGGGGATTTAGGATCTGGACTGGTTTTTCCCAGTATAGGACACACCCACCAGCAGGAGGCTCAGGAAGCAAAGCAGGGAGGGGGCATCACTGGGCTCAATCTCTGAGTTAGCCCTTGGGTCTGTTTTTTCCAGTGATTGTGCGATAATCAGAGAAAGACTCCTCCATGCTAGCCAGCTATAACACTATATTGATCTCCCTTGTAGTGGACCTTAAACTCTTTCAGGTTAAGTTTGTCTTCTATATTTGGGGGATAGTACAGGTTTCCTGTTTACTTTGGTGATATAAATCTTCCTTTTAAATAAATACATTAAGTAAACAGTTAATTTCAAGAATATTAAACAAACACTATTTTGGGTGGTAGGTAGATACAGCGGAAAGAGACTGAGCATGCATATTAGCATCTGGTAACCACTGATAGTGTGGAAAGAGGAGAATAGAGTTTGATGCAGGCAGTCTGGCTTCCAATCTACTTATGCTTTTAATGAGTAGTACTAGGGATAAAATCCAGGGTCTCTGCACTATACCTCCAGCACTGTTTTATTTGTTTGTTTTTTGAGAGGGTCTCACCCAGTCATTAAGTTGCCCAGGTTGGGCTAGAACCTGCAATCCTCCTGCCTCAGCCTCCCAGAGTGCCGGGATTACAGGTGTTAACCACCATACCCAGATGGCAGGTTACTTCCGTAGCTTCTCTGAGCCCTAGTGTCTTCCTGGATCAAGTGAGAGGTTTGCAGGCTGTTGTTACATTGCAAGTAATGTTGACAAAATAATTGACACACAGCAAGTGTTCAGTAAATGGCAGGAACTCATTTGTTCTATCTCCCACCTTCTCTTTCTCTTCAAAAGAGATGGAGACCTTAAGGGGACTCTTTGTCTTCCAGTGGCCCTAGGATAGGCAGGTACCAGGGTCCAAGCAGACTCAGTTCAAATTAGTATCTTTGCTTCCTTCTCTACCCTCAAAAGAATCTCTTACTTACACAATCAGTCTTCATTAGCCTCACAATTAAAAGCGACCTGGCAAGTTAGACTCTAGACCAACTGGGGAAGTTCAGGACTCTGGGTGCAGTGCGATGACACTTTGGAGGGGTCTTAAGACCCTGTGATGATCTCTAATTCAGACTTAGTGAGGCCTCGGAAAATTTAAACACGATGTCCTAAGCACACCATACTCTTACACAAATCAATTCCTCCCCACACTTTGGGCTACATCCCAGCCCTTTTAAAAATATTTTCTTATTTTCAGATACAGTTTCCCTAACCTGTTAACTTTTCCAGGCTGGCCTCAAACTTGTGACTCCTGCCTCAGCCTCCGAGAGTCCTTATTTCTTAAGTTTCTTAAGAAATTTCTTAAAAGGAGTTTTAATTATTCTCTTGTCAGCGACAGAAGATAGAAGTCAATTCCCTTGGACTTTGGAGTTTGTGCAAATAACATTAAACTGTTAAAAGTTTTAAAATGTGCTGTAATATGTTTTAACCTTGTTTTGAAACTTTTTCAATTTTTAAAATATAGCCCTCGACAGCCATGGAGTTCAGACGCCTCTAGCCTCCTCTTCCATCCTCTCAAGAGCCTCCGAGGTAGATCAGCTCAGACTGGAAAACCGGGACTGGACACAAAAGTGGCTACTCCTCGTTTGTTTTTTTTTTTTTTTTTTTTCAGAGGCAATAAATTCCAGGACGGTTGAGTCCAAAGAACACCGCGAGTGATGCGAGGGTCTCTGTGCGTACTACCAGGGCGCGCGCGGGTGGTGGTGGTGGTGGCCGCGGCGGTGGCGCGAAGGGGAGGAAGTATGTGTGTGAATGAAAGAACACAGGTACCTTAGGCCTGGCTCAGCGGCCCTGCCACCCTACACCAAGACGCCGAGATGATAAAAATAACAGTGATAAACCCTGATGGAGCACTGAGGCCGTACCTGCCAAGCCCTCAGTGCGATGTCACTTTTTTAGAGGAAAGAGGTCCTATTAGGTCTTCCTTTTCCAGAAGAGAAAACTGAGGCAGGAGAGATTAAACAACCTCTCCAAATTAACAGGCGTGCTTACGAAAGAAGCCGAACTCCAAAACCCTCCATCAGAAGGAAAGAGAAGAAGTGAGAGGACTAGAGGCGGGCAAGAGGGTGGCAGACGGAGGTGAGCGCAGCCAGCACGCCCCAGCTCCTGGCCTCTTTCTCCCTCTCGCCCCGGCCTCAGCAGCGCCCCGACTCCTCCCCAAATTTGGCCTGGGCGGGGAGACGGGCGGGCGCTGGGGGCGCTCCCGGCGCTTGGCCTTTCCCTGCAGGGTCCCCCACCGCCTCCCGTGGTCCCTCCCCCGGCTCGGGCTCCTGACATCACGGCCCGGGAGGCGGGCTCGCGAAGGAGGGGGCCGTGGGGAGGAGGCTCTGCGCCGCCGCCAGGGAGGAGGGAGGGCGCGCAGTCCCGGCCCAGAGCTTCAAAACAGCCCGGCGGCCTCGCCTCGCGCCCAGCCCGTGAATCTGTCTGTCCGGCCGCCCGCGCCGCCGACAGCGCCCGGTGAGTTGGGGGCATGCCCGGGGGATGCACGCAGGGCGCGGAGTGGCGTCGGAGCACCGGCAGCGTGCGCTAGGGACGCCACTGTGCTCTTTGGGGACCCAGGGAGACCTTGGGATTGTGGGGGGCAGGGAAGGGCCGAGGCGCCGTCTATGCTGCAGACCCCAGTTTCTGCTCCCAGCCTCTGGGGCGCAGCCCGGCTCTCCTGTGGACGCCACGCCCGCGCGTCCGGGATTCCACTTCGCCGCCCCCGGTCAGCTTCCTTCGCCTTTTGCGCTCAGGCTGGCGGGAAAAGTTTGGGGAGGAGTCAGGGCGACTCCCCTCGCCCCGCCAGCCGCAGGCCGGGTGCCCTCGGAGTACCAGGGAGGGAGCTCCCTGTCACGTATGGGACCCAGAGCCCCCGCTGCCAGGTTCTCGCAGACCTGAGCTGGCAGAGCGGTTGCGCCCAGGTTCGTGCGCGGGTCGTGGCGGGCTGCGCACCCCACTCCACCCGGCCTGCGTCTCCAGTACGCCCCCCAGCGGTAAGGAGCAACTTCCTAGGGTCCGCAGCCGTTGCGCGCCTGTGTGTGGGATGCTGCTAGAGTGACACTTCTCCCCACCCCTACTCTGGTGTGAGCTTGAGGAGCTTTCATGGGGAGCGCCTCACCTAAGGATTGCAGCCTATGGGAGGACAGAGATCGAGGTGTGGCCGAAAGGCCCTCCTGAATTCCAGGTATCACAGTACACTTCAGTCCTGTCTTCAGGGTCTTGCTAGAGCACTGACAATTGGACCAAGGGAGACCCATAGGACAAAGCCTTCCCTCCAGCCCAGAATGAAATGAACCTACTTTGGAACGAAGTTGATAGCTAGGGCTTATTGTCTTTCACAAATTGTGTGCATTTGTGTGCTGATATTGTCACTACCTTTGAGTGAGGGTCTGGGAGAAAGATTTAAGAAGCCTCCAGCCCAAACAACTTCACTTTTTTTTTTTTTTTTGGTACTGGTTATCAAACTCATGATCTTGAGCTTGCCAGGCAGGTGCTTATGCCACTGAGCTAAATCCCAGGCTAAAAACTCCACTTTTATAAGGCACCTGGAATTGACAGATCCATAGACAGAAATCAGAATGGTGGTTGCCAGGGACTGGGGATTGGTGGGAATGGAAGAATTATTGTTTAAAGGGTACAGAGTTGTTGTTGTGAAAGGTGAAAAAAGTATGGGGTACAGGTATTAGGGGTGGTTACACAACACTGTGAGTGTATTTCACACCATTGAATTGTACACTTACAAATGGTTAAAATCATAACTATATTTTCGCATGATAGGAGAAAAGGAAAAGAAAAAAGATGTGTCCAGCTACCTCTGTCCATCAGTCTGAATCAGTTAGAGAAATCCCAGGACCAGGCACTGACCATCTTCTGGAATTTTGCGTCCAGATCTGGAAGAGAAGAGTCTGAGAAGGGACAGGTCCCTTAGAGAGAATGCATGCGGTAGGGAGGCAGGCAGAGGTGTGCAAAGGGCCGTACCTGCTCCTTCTCCCTCCTCCCTGTGAGCTTCACCCTGAAGTGTGCCCTGCACGTTCCCCTGTTGCAGATGGGGCAATCTAGGCCAGAGAAGCCAAGTTGGTTATCCAAGGCCATGGTGCAAGAGCTAAAGAGCAAGAGGCAGGCTTGGAAACTCCACCTGCCTCCCTCTAAACCCCTTTTTTGATTTGGAGAGGCCTTGGTGGGGGTAGGGAGGACCCTTCAGGGAAAAGGATGCAGATGCCTGTGGGGGCCTTGGCTGATAGCTGCACGGATGGGGCAGAAAGGTGCTGAACCTGCTTTCCCACTGACGGTTTTGGATCTCCCCGCCTCTATCTTGATTTGGGGAATTGGAAGTTAGGTGGGGAGCAGAGAACAGGCCTCACAGCCTGGAGCCTCTTTTGTCCCTGTAATGGGGAATTTAAATTTGCCTGCAATCCAGGGGAGGTGGCTGAGGTGGCAGGGAAGGGCATGGCCAGGCGGGAACAGTGGTGTGAAGAGGTGGAGCTTGGCTGTCGCTGCCCCACCCAGAGGGCAGACCCCTCTCAGGCTGGTACACACATGCGCACGTGCACACACACACACACACACACACACACACCCGAGGAAGGGCACCTAGAATTCTGTTCTCAGCCTCCCTCTAGAGTCTTTATGGTAGGAACACACAGATTCCATTTCCCAGCCATGGGGAGGATGGGGCAGTTCTGTGGCCCGGGCCCACAAAGACGCTCCCTTGGCCTTGCTCCACCCTGCACCCTCCTGGGTCCATGGAGCTCAGCAAAGGCCACTTCTTTGTCCCAGTGAACTCTGACAGACAGACATGACCAGAAAGGGAAATCTGCTGGGACAAAAATTATATACTTTCCAGACCAGACAGGATGGCTTGGGACTTCTGGCAGGGTGCGAGATAGACTTGAAAGCCACCTCTTAGCGGACCAGGGAATTGTGTATGTGTTGCTCCCTGTGGCTGATGTCCAGCTCAGTGGCCACGTGGGGCCTCTGGCACAGGCTTCCATGGCTAAGTGGGGGGTGGGCATCTGCAGCCATTGAGGCTCCAGAGTGAAGGTGGTGGTTACCGGAGGTGAGGGGGTCCTAGAGATCCCTAAAGTAGTAGTGAGTGCACGTGGGTGACGGCTTAGGAACGCAGGCAGCTGGAACGGGGGAAGAGGGCAGCTGGCAGAGTAGAAGGAAGTGGAGCTTTACTCTGCCAGGCTTTGGCTTGTCCAGGGAAGGAATGGGATAGGTGTGAGGGTGGCGAGAAGAGGAGGTTCCCCTCTTTGCCCCAGGAGTGGTGATTTGTCTTCTTCCACAAGTTACCCAAAGAATACAATTTCGGCGGGATGTGTCTGGCTCTTGTTAGGGCCAGGCTGAGGGGGAGTCTAAAAATAGGAGGCAAGGCTGCCACCCAGCGAGAGTGCAGGCTGGTAACCTGATGCCTGAGGGAGGCTGACCATGTGACGACTGCATCAACACCGGGACTGCCCTGTTCCACAGTCACTGGGGCTCCTCCAGCCAGTCAATCCTAGGACAGACTTTTGGAAGGGGTGTAAAGTTTAATAGCTAGGGACAGGAAGGTGGAGTGATTTATCTGAGGCTGCCAAGTAAGTCAACAGCAGGTTCAAGCCTAGATTGAATGTAGGGACTTAACCGGTTGAGTTCAATGGCTGGGGAATGGTTAGAGGGATTCCAGCCATGTGCCCTGGGTCAGGGACCCATGGGACATGTGTCATCTTTCTAGGATGCTGCATTTCCATGCTTACATCCTGATGAGAGAGCTGTGCTCAAACGGTAATTCACTTCCCACGGAGCAGCAAGTGACTCCAGGGGCACAGCTGTTGGGTTCTGGCAGACTCTGGGGAAGTTGGTTCGTCTTAGGGCAGGATGTAAAGAAAAAGGGAACTGGATGATGAATCCCTCCTTCCTTCCCTTCAGAGATGCTGTTGGTATCTCTGTTACTGAGTAGTTGTTGGACAGAAAAATTGAATTTCTGGACCCTTACTTTCCTTAGGAAGCTGAGCTTCTGGTCATGTGTGAGGGACCGAGGAACAAGAGGAGGCCGATTCAGACCCTGACCCCCCTGGGCAGGCTGAGAGACATCAGCTTCCCCTAGGACCTTGGGTCCAGAGAGGTCCCTGGGGTGCTATTTAACATTAATATGTCCTTCGAAATCTAGGATACAGAATAGTTGTCGCCCTTCAGAATGTACAGATGGACACACTTAGTCCCTCACATCAGACTGCTCACAGCCTAAAATCAAGTAAGGTTTTGTGATAGCAAGTCCTTAATTAAGGCTTTTTTGCTGGTATGCTAATCACAAAGTTCTCTAGTGAACTATCTTTCCTGAAAAGGAAATTAATAAAACAATTTTGCAGTGAGTAAATATGACTCCAGTTTATCTCATTAATCTTATTCTAGTGTTTCCCAAATAAGTGTTATCGTGGGTGGTACCCAAGATAATTCTAAAACATCTGCAGCTGAACATAAAAACAAAAGAAATTAATTATATGTATTTTCTTGGTTGGTGTTTGAAAAAATATGTCAATAGCACACAGAGCCACAGTTTCACAGATACTGTTGCTTTGGGTGAAATGAAAGTTGATGTTGTAAACTTTAAAACATTTTTTAAAAAATTAAAGAGCTTAGTTAATAAGCACAGATGGGGCTTGTGCTTGGCAAAATCTTAGTACCAGTGTGAATATCTTTAGGAGAGGGCTGTCTGATGGGGACTAGGAGGGACATATTTCATATTTTTAATGACAAGATTAATCTGGGAACATCTGGGAGCTCCTCATCCACTTCTCTTTCTGTACAGAGGCCCCAGACTGAAACCTGCCACTTAACTTCCACAGGAGTCCCTTCATCTTTTATGATGGTCATCCCTCCACCCTGTGGCCTTTAGTGGTTGGTCTGAGGATCAGAAGAGATGATATATTGATGTCTGTGGAAGTGGCTTGAGATGCTTGTGGTTTACTTGAACCAAAGCAAAGCTGGAGGAGAGGCTGCCTGCCCACTTTCATCTTGATGGCTGTTATAAAGCAACTTTGTGTAGTGAGCTGCTACAATTTAAAGGGGGATTTCCCTGTCTTCAAAAGGTTCTGATGAGGAGGACAGATCCAAGAGATGTGATTTCAGGGAGGCCTGCAGTGTGGTGGCTTGCAAGGGTTTCCTGAAGCCCTGCAGGCCTGGAGCTGTGCTTGGGAGAGTCCTTAGTATTCTCCTAACAGCATGGTTCTGGGGAGGAACCATAGTCTTTTTCATTTTTATTGGTACCAGGGATGGAACTCACGACCGCCTGCTAGCAAGGCAGGTACTTATGCCGCTGAGCTAAATCCCCAGCCCCACCATAGTCATTTTGCAGAATAGTTTACAAAGTATAGCTGGATGTGGAGGTGCATACCTGTAATCCCAGCACTCTGGGGAGGTTGAGCAGAAGGCCTGAAAATTTGAGTCCAGTCGGGCAGCTTAGAGATTTATCAAAACCCTGTCTCAACATAAAAAAT